CACGAAGGTTAACCTTGTTGACAAGGGCACTTTCAGCAGGAGTGGCGGTTGTGGTGTGGAGGAGGTGGTGGTGGATGTCGTGGTCCTATTTCTGTACCTAACGGTTTTAAATCCGCAGGATGAGGAGCGGAGTAGGCCAAAGGTGAAATCCCGACGACGGCAACATCCCTGTAGGACAAACTCGTCCCAGCAGTTACAGCAGGCGAGGTCTGAGTAGGGAGGGCAGCTGAAGGCATACGCTGGTTGCTGGTCGCTTTCTTACGGGATATTTCACTCTATCGTACCGTCTCATATGGTGCATCAGATATTTTCTATTTGTGAATATTCTTCTGCAGCCCGGCTTCTTGCACACGTGTTCCTGGAGACAAAGAGCAAATGTATGTATATTTGTGGTAAAGTTATTTATGCATGTTCCAGTACTTGCGTAATGTAGTCAGTAATTATTATCTCGGTCGCATAATTCGTCTAAATTTTCCCCACGTCGTNATTCTTATTCTTATTATTATTATTAATATATCCATCACCAAGAAAACCACGGTACTGATCTACGATTATACACGTGTTCAATCCTCTATAATACGGACCGATGTTATAAAAATGGTGGAAGTGCTTATTATCCTAATCTTCATTTCCTTGATAATTTCGATTATATTCTTTCTCTAATTCTGTATTTAAGCATCACGTTGCAAGCCATATTATAACGTCAATAACACAATAATTTTCGGCCCTAGATTTTAATCTTCAGGTGTCTTTTATCTGAAAACTGCTAAACTGCATAAATATGTTCTAAAGTCACACGCTGTGGTGCACTTAATAATATAAAATCAAATAAAATAACCTGTAGATGGCTTTCTAAGTTCGACACATGTTGTGTTAAATTATAAGTGAAAGAAGAATGTACATATGTTTGTGTTATTGACGGAATGTGTTATACACATACGTGTTATATTTTTTCTCATTTGTCAGACCATTGAGTCTAGGTCGTAACAGTACTTTCAATTACTCATCTCTGGAATATATGCTCAGAGTGTACAGAGCATTAATTAAATATAAACTTAAATATAGGTCCTTAGTATTTAATTCAATTAAGTCGAGTGATGTCAACAAGCTTGAATGTATCCAGCAGAGGTTTGCGGTTGTCTGTTTTAATAGTTTCTTTCCTGATGTCCAATACTGTTATCTCTCTCTCTGGAGTAGTTAAAATTACACACTCTACATATTAGGAAGCATAGCAACCATGTTCTCTTTATTACTAAAGTTTATTTTTGTTTCAAATTTTGAACTTCCCCTTTAGAAGTTGTTGATCTCCGAGTCGATAAATAAGGGACTTTGCATTGAATAGTAAAATTTAAAAATTGCTTTAGCCCGGCATATACAATTCTACACGAGGCTTTGTGAATGCCGATTAGGATTGCAACCCACTCGCCTGTAAATTTCGATGAGTGTGGAATGTAGGAAAACACATTTACAGAGACCGGCACTCATATATTTCCTTATACTTTACAAACAACATACATCACGACAATTAGTTTGTTGTCCTATAACATTTACAAGAATTGTAAAAGCACACCAACAATAATTCGTAAAGCAACAAAGAAACATCTCCATCCAATATGGCATTCCTAGGATAGAGATTTATTAGAAAAATCGATCTACACGAATAAAAATCGTTTTGCAGAACAGGATCATTTTAAATGTTGTTCATTTGGAAATCTCAAGTTATATTGAATTCCTGTTCCTGACAAGTACTTATATGAAGAGACTTATCCAACTTTAACTGCCATTATAAGTAACGACAGCTCTATGGAAACCGTGGAGAGATAAACCTGTTTGTTGTTGAGATCCATGGATAAATTGAATGGAACATGCACATTGCTCTTTGTAGAGATGTCCCACTTCTTACTCTTACCAGATCCAGACTTCACTTTCTTCTATGAATCTTTCCTCTCGACTATGAATTATTATGTGTTTTCTGAGATTTCCTGTTTCTGAGAAGCACTTTTTACAAATGCCGCATTCAAATGGCTTCTCTCTGGTGTGGGTTTTATTATGTCGTTTAAGGTGGTGTGAGGTTGTGAATGCCTTCCCACATTCTGGAAAATTACAAACATACGACTTCACTCCTTCGTGATGGCGCATATGGTTCATCAGATGTCTTCTATTTGTGTATATTTTTCCGCATCCCGGTTTCTTGCACACGTGTTCCTGGGGACAAAGATCAAATGTATGAATATTTGTGATAAGGTTATTCATGAGTTTGTGAGCAATGTTCCAGTACTTGCGTAATGTACTCAATAATTTTATCTCGGTCGCATAATTCGTCTAAATTTTCACCACGTTTGCCACGTACCTCTTCATCTCGGTGTCTGATTTAATTTATCTCTGAATACCTCTAGTGAGTGGTACAATTTTCTCTTCCGAAACGTCACTCCATTTTTCTCTCTATGCTAGGACGTAATCAGGAACCAGTTAGGAAATTTACATAAATTGTGTGAATTGAATGGACAGTTAAACAACATTTCTCACAGAACACATAGTGGCAGTATCCTAATATTACATATAGTGTTAAATTCCTTGATTGGCACGATTCTCATATTTTGAAAATTGTTTCTACCTTTATAACTATTTTATATAAAATTTTTGCTACATGAAATATAAGAAATTGTTTTAAATTCTGTATTATTTTTATCGTTTTATAATTAATATTAATAATATATCCATCAACAAGAAGACCAAGGTACGGATCTGCGATTATAAATCTGTTCAATCCTTTATAATCCGGACAGTTCCTATAAAAATCCTCATTGCTAATCTTCATTTCTATGATAATTTCGATTATATTTTTTCCGTAATCCTGTATTTAAGCATCACGTTGCAAGCCATATTATAACGTCAATAACACAACAAATTATTCCGCTTTCTACTTCGTATACTCTAACACAACAAGTTTCTGCCCTAGATGGTCATCTTCAGGTGTCTTCATAAATGAAATCAGTTAAACTGCATTAATATGCTCTAAAATCACAGGCTGTGGTGCACTTAATAATGTAAAATGAAATAAAATAACCTGAAGATTTTATTCTAAGTTCGAAACATGTTGAGATAAATTATAAGTGGAAGAAAAATGTACATATTTCTGCGTTATTGACGGATTGTGTTATACAGAGACGTGTTATATTTTTTCTCATTTGTTAAACTTTTGTGTCTAGGTCTTACTAGTACTTTGAATTTCTCATCTCTAGCATGTATGCTCAGCGTGTAGAACGAATTAATTAAATCTAGATTTGAGTATAGTTTCTTAGTATTTAATTCAATTAAGTCGAGTGATGTCAAGAAGCTTGAATGTACCCAGCAGAGGTTTGCCGTCCTCTGTTTTAATAGTTTCTTCCCCTGAACTCCATTACTGTTATCTCTCTCTCTGGAGGAGTTAAAATTACACACTCTACATATTAGGAAGCATCGCGACCATGCTCTCTTTATTACTCGAATTTATTTTAGTTTCAAATTCTGAAATTCCCCTTTAGAAGTTGTTGATCTCCGAGTTCCTGCCCGATATATAAGAGATTTTGCATTGAATATTAAAGAATAAATATTGCTCTAACCCGGAACATACAATCCTACACGAGGTTTTGTGAATCCGGATGAGGATTGCAACCCACTCGACTGTAAATTTCGATGAGTGTAGAATGTAGGAAAACACATTTACAGAGACCTGCACTCATATACTTCCTTATAGTTTACAAACAACATACATCACTACACTTAATCAGTTGTCCTATGACATTTACAAGAACTGTAAAAACACCTCGATAATAATTCGTAACGCAACAAAGAAACATCTCAATCCAATATGGCATTCCTAGGATAGAGACATAGAAATAAAAATCGATCTACACGAATAATAATCGTTCTGCAGAACATGATCAATTTAAATGTTGATCATTTGGAAATCTCAAGTTATATTCAATTCCTGCTCCTGACAAGTACTTATATGAAGATACTTATCCAACTTTTTTCTTTCCCGTTGGCACTACAGCCCCAGTGGGCCTAGGCCTACCTCCATGAACTTCTCCGTTCACTTCGGTTTTTCTAGATCTTACACATACGGTAGGACTCCTTGGGCAAGTGATCTTGTCGTCGCAAGGCCTCTACCTGTGGACAAACACAGGAAAACGCAAACATCCATGCCCTCAGTAGGATTCGAACCCACGATCCCAGTTTTGAAGCGCACGAAGACAGTTCATGCCTTAGACCGCTCGGCTATCGTGACCAGTCTTATCCGACTTTAACTGCCCTCATGATTAACGACAGCTCTATGGAAACCGTGGAGAGATAAACTTGTTTGTTGTTGAGATCCATGGATAAATTAAATGTAACATGCACATTGCTCTTTTTAGAGATGTCCCACTTCTTGCTCTTACCAGATCCTGACTTCACTTTCTTCTATGAAACTTACCTCTCGAGTATGAATATTCATGTGTTTTCTGAGATTTCTTGTTTCGGAGAAGCACATTTTACAAATGCCACATTCAAATGGCTTTTCTCCGGAGTGGGTTTTATTATGTCGCTTCAGGTGGTATGAGTTTCTGAATGCCTTCCCACAGTCTGGAAAATTACAAGCATACGACTTCACTCCATCGTGCCGGCGTATATGGTTCATCAGAAATCTTCTATTTGTGAATTTTTTTCCGCAGCCCGGCTTCTTGCACTCGTGTTCCTGGGGACAAAGAGCGAATGTATGAATATTTGTGATAAGGTTATTCATGCGTTTGTGAGCAATGTTCCATACTTGCGTAATGTATTCAGTAATTATTATTTCGGTCGTATAATTCGTCTAAATTTTCACCACGTCGGCTACGTACCTTTTTATCTCAGTGTCTGATTTAAGTTATCTCTGAATACTACCTCTACTGAGTGGTACAATTTTCTGTTCCGAAACGTCACTCCATTTTTCTCTCTATGCTTGGACGTAATCAGAAAGTATTTAGGAAATTTACATAAATTATATGAATTCAATGGACAGTTAAACAAAATTTCTCACAGTATACATAGTGGCAGTATCCTAATATTATATAATGTTATATTCCTTAATGGGCACGATTCTCATATTTTTGAAATTGTTTCTAAGTTTATAACTATTTTATGTCTAAAATTTACAGCATATGATATAGGAAACTGATCTTATTTCTCATTATTATTATTATTTTTAATATTAATATTAATAATATATCCATCACCAAGTGAACCAAGGTACTGATGTACTATTATAAACGTGTTCAATCCTCTACAATCCGGACCGTTGCTATAA